TTTTGTGAAGCACGAAGTCAACTAAAGGTCTAATGATACCCATCATATGAAATAAATATTTATCCACACGGGGGTGAGCGATAGACTTATCTCCACTTGGGTAGCCTGGGCAACGCATACTCGTACGGCAAAAAAGTCTATAAACCAACTGTACGTCATATTCGACCACTTCCATAGTACGCACCTTTCCTTTTTCAACACCTTTGTGCCCGCCTCTTTTTCGTCTGAATCACTCTTCTGTTCCCTCTCTTTTTGCGAATTTAATGTTCCCCCTCTCTGTGAAGCCTAAAGTCAACTAAGGGGCTAACGAGAACTATCAATAAGCCTGCCATTTGATACAAAATTTATCCATCCTCACTCCCTTCAGTTTAAAGAGAAAAGCTACAATTATCTCTTCATAGCTTATTACTAAAAGCCAAATGTACTTGATTAAAAATGTGCTTAAGAAACGGCCTTCGCGCTAACTCTCTGCTTTATCTCGAGTCTATAGTTGGCATTTCCCAAACGTATAATGTATTTTGTTGATAATGTACTCCTGACGCAAGCTTTGGGGAGATCTATTTCAAACGGCATGATAACAGGTACATATCGCAGTTATTTGCATTAGAAAGGCATGAGTAACCTCACTTTAACATAACTATGCAAAGAGCATGCTAAATGTGCACTGTAAACACAATTTAAATACGATTAAATTATTTTTTCCCAATTAAATAATAAACGCATGCTAATCATTTGAAACTCGATTGCGGACGAATTGCGACATGCATCCATATAAAAAAAGGAGAAGAAGAACGAATGGAGACAGAAGTCGGTCGATTCAAATGAGTAGAGAGAGAGAGAGAGTTCCTAGTTAATTTTCTTCGTTTCAGACAATGTTAAGAAGTTAAAGGATTTGGAAGGTTAGAGGGGGAAAAAGCATTGAAGACTAATCTCACTCAATTCAACTTCCACGTTCTCACACAGGCATCTTGACCTGTGCTAATGAGCTCCGTATTCGATTTCCAGATTAGAGAGGTGATCATATTGGCCGGATGAGCGTCTATAGAGAAGAAAAGAAATGGTTAGGTGATGATGGCTAGGAAAAAGGGGGTAACGACGATAATTTCAAAACAAGTTCAACGTACTTCTAACTTCGCAGATCCTTGAGGAGGCTGTGGGACTGAAAACCATGATGGCACAATCTAGACCACCAGTGGCTAAGTGCTTGCCATCTGGAGTCCAGGCTGCGCAAGTTACACGAGCTGAATGGTCCCGCCATTCACGAGTTTTGTTGAATTTCGGATTGCCACTTTCAACACCTTCAACCTAAATTCAAGAATGCAGATATAAAGTAAGTGATAAGATAAAATGTCATTTCGAATTAAGAGGATGTAATTTTAATCGACTTATTCGTTTTGGGCATATAAAACGATATGAAGGAGAAGAAAAATCCTTTAGAGCTGAATTTGTAACGAAATAACTACAATTAACTATACTTGAATGATAAATGGAAGACATATTCGGAGTAATCTCTGCAAAGAAGATAACAGTCTGCTAACGGGTTTATAACTAGGAATTGTAAGAGGAACTAGACCACAGAATTTTTCGCCAAATCGATCCGATGCTTTTTTCTTTCTTCGATCCAATGAAAACTAAAATTATTTAAACTATTGGCAACTTAGCATACATTTTAACGCTGCTAGGGTCTAGTTATTGAAACAAGGATGAACAAAAAGGTTAGTGACTTCATAGTCCTCAAGAGAGAAATTACATTTTTAAAGCAGAAAACCCAATGAAAAGTATTAGTGCTATTTGTCTACAATCTATTTGATCGATTGCAGTCAACTGAGTTCACTTGCAAACTGAAAATAGACACGTATTTCTAAAGTGAATTTAAACGAAAATAAACAAACTTACAATGCAAACCAAAGTTCAAGAACACAAATTGAGTAAGCCTCAACCATGTCTTAGAGAATGGTATGTATAACAGAAGTAACAAGTAGAGAACTCAACCAAGTGTGACATTTAACGGCTCTTAAACAAGAATAGACACGCATTAAGTGTATGGTGTTAAAGACGGCAAAAGACTTTTGATCATAAGCCACAAGCATAGTCTAATCTATCGAAAATAGCATTTAGAGAACGAATAGCTATGCTTCATGTGACGCAGTAAACTTTTACCCAGTTTTACCTCACTTTTGAGTCTCTATTGAACGCGATATTGCCAATAAATCCCCTGAATCTTTGTTAAAAGTTCTCCATATATTCGAATTTCGGTCATCAGAAATGGATTTAAAAGGCTCTCACCTTGAACAAACGAAGGTATCGATTAGAATCGCCAACAATGAGGTAGGATGCGTCAGGAGAGAAGGCCAGAGTGGTGCAATCGGCTTCCATCTTTACACCCTCTGCCACGGTAACCAAGGTCTTGCCACCGTCAGCCAGAAGGTAGAATTCGACGTTCCCGTCCTAGAGACATCAATTTATAAGAAAGATATTAAGGGGAACTCTCCCAGAACAGATATAACCGCGATAAAGAAATGAACAACTACTTATATCAGAAATTGAAAAGTAATTCATCCTTCTATGCTATCCTCTTTCAAATATGTTGAAAGAAGCAGGATGAGGATAGGAGAGGAGGGGGGGGGGGGCTTGGAAGGGAGATGAAGGCGTAGTGCAAGGACAATAGCCGACAAGCGTGACGTTAAGAATGTAGGTGTATTTTTAAATGAAAATGGAACGCGGGAAAGGCTACAACCGATTTAGTGAAATAGGTGAAGTAATGGGCAGTAGTTCTTGTAAGGGACTTGAATAAACCCAGTAAAAGTTTAGGACACCACGTTTCTGAATGTCACTGTTAGAAATCCTTTCAAACAACTCAGCCACCTCAACTATCCCAGGCATCGTATCACACTTGAGATAAAGAGTGAATACGAAATCAACAAGATCGACGGATCTCTTACCAATTATCTGGGGACATTTCAGAAAATCGATACTAGTTTACCCCTTTCATACTAATTTGTTTTTGTAATAGTATTACTTATTGACTTTGATCACACTAACAACATATCTTGGTGGCATGTAAATAACAGATGATGAAAATATGCAAAACATCCTTCCTTAAATCGATAATACTTAAGGAGGTCAGCGTGAACTTTCAAAAAGAGAGCGTGCACATGGGGTCGGAATTTGGAACCTGGTGATGAAGGGGGCAGTCGTAAAGTGCAAAATTGGGAGAGCGGTATGGGCATTGCAGCGAAAATAATCTTTTGCAGAGAGAAATTGGAGGCCATTAGAAAAAGTAAATATTAAGGCTCCACGATTTTTTTGCCTAAGAATCTAAAAGCACAGGGTTATACAATAGAAATAGAATGGCACGATAAATACTTAATAATATAGTGATGTTGGTCTAATGAGATTATCCAAATACAGTTTTTTTTCCGAGAAAGAATGAAGAAATTATCGTTTTCTATCGACAGACAAGTGCAATATCTCGAAAATTGCTTGAATTGGTAATGTATATAACGACTGGAGTCTGTGGAGTGGACAATCCTAGCACGATTAAACTAAGCAATCCATTGTGCACTCGAACATTCCAGAAGGTGGGCACAAAGGTCCTCCTATCTAATCAGCCATTAATATTCGCCCAAGTTACGTTAAATGTATTAAATCAATAATTATGTTTGCCGCGAGTATAATTGGCAATAAACGATATACTCTCTATACGTCTGAGGTAGGTTAACTAATCCCGGCAGCCTTTCCATATTAGGGAATTTTGTCACAAGGATTAGTGAGGATAGGTCAAGGCTTAACCGTGAAGCAATCCGCTACAAGTTACCGGTTTTCGTTTGGAAAAGAGGAGAAATTCTGTCAGTCGAAATTATTAAATATTTTGGAAATTCAAAGAAATAAAAATACATTAATAAATGCACACTGCTGCCTTATTCTTTACAAACGCCTCAATAAACTCAAGCACTCTAGTAGAATAGGAAATGAATGATTGAAAATGTCACCCCCCCCAGCAACAACCCATTTGACTAATTTTGTAAAATTATAAATGAACAAATATTGTTAATGAAGATGTCAAATTGCAACTTTGATTTCTTTTTTTAGATTCGAACAACAATATCCCATTTTTCCCATGGTTACTATCGGAAGTATCAATCATTTGATTTGTGACATGCATATTGAACATTGGATCTGCAGTGCACGACCGCACATTCATACCCCAGAACATGTTGGAAAACAATGGTATGAATTGAATAGATAAAGGCACGTGAACACTAACATTCTTTCCAACAGCGAGTATTTCTCCATCCTCAGAGATACAGCCCGTGGAGGCTTCCAGGGAGATCTCAAGCATTGTCAAAGGTGTGGTGGGAGCATCAGGGGCAAGCGAGAAGACGTAGAGATGCTTCATGCAGATGGCCACAATAAGGGATTTGCTGGGCGCGATACAGAGACCACGAGGCTGAGAGGCCAGTTTCACGGATTGCCTGAAATGAAAGGAGGAAAGGGGGCACTTAATTCATTGGAACAACTACGCAATAGAGATTATACACCATCAGAAAGGCCGTTATTTATGCATTAGTATAGGGAACACCAACCATAGCCATATTCAGTGACTCCCACAGCACGTAGACCCGATTTAGTAAGCACTAAAGAGGCAATCTCAAGCGAAACTTTTAGCTCTCCAATCATAGCCGCGATAAGATACTTAGATAAAGGGGAAATTGGCTTTCAGGTAATGATATCAGTGACGAAAGGAAGCGAAACAATAAAGATCAATTGTACATGACGGTATTGACAGTAATTCAGCCGATAAATCAATTTATCAACTTGGAAAGAGAACTAGCCAATACAAAACCATCATGAGAACATTGTCAACACAAGAATTATTGAAAGTCAAATACTCCATATGGATTATGGATAAACTCCTTTCCAAAACTACAACATTGAGTAGGCATTTAATAAGCAAATATAAGGGGGGGGGTTCACTATTGATAATATCAGCTGCAATTAATTTACTTCCCTTTTTCAAGGACTAAAATTTGTTCCATGGAAAAAGATAGTTTCACATATAACTGCACAGCTTCACCTTAAGAGAAGCGGTAAGGTAATATGTTTTACAATAAAATCCTCCTATTAATTGCATAACTACAACCGAATGCATCAGAATAGGTCGTTAACAGAATTAAATGTGGTCAGTTATTCAATTACACTATTTAATGTGATAACAAATAAGAGTTCATTAAAATTCGAATCGAGGAATCTTATAAACGCTCGGTGCGTATTGGAGGGTGTTGAAGAAAACAAAACGATAAATGCAAAAGCAACGGAGGAAATCTAAAAGAGCGACAAAATTGCCAATTGTGGACATTTCGGTAGATGAGATATTCGCAAATGAATAGGCTATTAGAAGTCAATAGCCAGTACGAAACAAAACGCCTGAGAGAATTTAACGCGTTACGAGGAACATCAGTGCTAATTGAAGGTAAGTTGTATTGAGGATAATTAACCACTACCCTCATAACAAATCTCACTTCAGTAACCTAAAATCCCTACTTACATTTGAGTTACCCATTAAATTTATAATGAATCGGAATGAACAGCACAGAGATTGAGCAGCGAAACAAGCTCAACGAAGTGTCAAATTGAAATCTGTTAAAAAAATTTAATTTTTCACAATTATCTCGTAGCCAACTTCCTCAAGAAAATACAGCATACGTAATTATACTAAGAAAATAATGATTAAAATAAAAGCATCCCTTTTCAACCCGATTGTCATACGAACATCAGCCAAGCACAATCAGCAACAATACCATATTAGGAAGTCGACTCTGATTGGTTCCTCTTACTAACCAATAGTAAACACGACCGTAATTTTGACCGAATAGCGGCGCAGAACCGTGTTAAGAGGAGTCCAAAGGGAAAACAATTTAAGGTCAAATAGGGGAAGTAAATACGCATTAAGACATTGTAAAAAAACGACGCAAAATGACTCACTCGTATGTTTTTTTTGACAGTGAGCTGAAAACGATGCAGTCGTCAACAGCGACTGAGGCGACACGATCTCCGCAAGTAACCACGCCGTTAATAGCTGAAGTATGACCCTCTTTACCCTCAAAAGGCTCAGCCAAACCAGAAGAGAGGTTCCATCGAACCATTAAACCATCGTAAGAAGTTGTAATGAGTTGCTCAGTAGACGTAGAGTAGCAAGAACGCTGAATAGGTCGAGAGTGACCAAAGATCACATTTGACGGGACGTCAAGCTTAGAAGCATTATCAGTAACGTCAAAGCAAGTCATTGAGCCATTTAGACCTAGAGAGACGATTTTTCCAACAGCCCAAACACAGCCGAGCTAAATGAATCAAGAAGTCCGATTTAGGTGACACTTCAGAGAGAAAAGTGCATAGTTGATAGTAGCGCAAGGAATGAAACCATAAAGAACTTCTACGAGCTAGTAGATCCTAATCTATTGGAGAGCAAATGTACACATTAATATATTCTTTCTATGTACAGTATAGCTTCCTTATTTAGTATGGAGGATGAAAGTGAGCAAAAGAATTACTTGAGCATGAAAAAATCGTTATCCACAAAAGAAGTTTCCAAAGTCAAAGTTCTAATTAGTACTAAGGCAAAAATAAACTTCAGTGGAATAGCGATAATAATAAAAATTAACGGATATGGAAAAATCTAACAGAGCAAGACTAAAGCCTGGTTCATAAACTAATTTTAGATGCAATTAACTACTCTAAATCTGCTTGAAGTCAAAATGGCAGGGGGGGGGGCGATTTCAAATCCAATTAATAAAATGCACACCTGAATATGAGCTCTGCACTCGAAAACAGACATCGGCACAATTTTCTGCCGCACTGGCTCCAAGGCACAAGATTAGAACCTTCTATTGCTTTAAAACGTGAACAAAGAGGCGTCTAAAATCTCAGATCGTTAAATTGCCAGATTTATCATACCCAAAGTCAGGAAATTTAAGAAATGTGTACAATCAGGTAAAATAAAGAGGGTCTGCGTCTAGGTAGGACAGTTCCACAAGAATGAAAAAAGTTTATAAAAGATATACAACTTTCTAAATGTGCGACAGGATGTCAAAAATCTCCCCAATTTGCTAGACCGCCGACAAAGCACAGATATCAAGCTTTGCTCCAACCCAACACAAAATCCCTTTTATCTAAAGCAGCATATACTTTTTAACGTAGAATAGAATTAACAACATTTGCATAAAAAATCAGCATTAGTAAGCCGAGAATGTTGATAATTTGAAAGGCGCGTCTTTTACGATTAAGGTTGAGACATCACATTCGATATAAGTTATTGCTATCATCTTAAAGAAATAAGCTAATTACGAATTGACTAGGTAGTCAAGGAGCAAAAACGGATTAGATCGAACTAGCCGCCCTTTAGTTAATGAGAGCGCAAAGTCATCATATAACCTTTTACAACTACTCTAAGGAGATCAATTGCAACGGTGTGTAACAATAAAACCAGACATTTTTAGCGTAATACAGGGACTACGACTGAAATAGTTTACGAGAAAGGTTACCATTATAAATGCAAAATAACTGATTTTGTGAGCTTAAAAGTTGACTTTACAAGTCAATACTGCATGGAGAAACCGAAAATTAAATAGAGCCCACTATCATATAATGTAAAATGACACGAGTGTTACATTAGCCTCTTCTACCTTTAAAATAGGTTTACATAAGAGATCCATTAATCAAGGTAAGAGATTTCTAGAAATGTTTTGCCAAATAACCAACCTGCATATTGCCCAACTTATCTTCGAATGAATACTCCGAGAGCATTTCGAAAGGTTGGGTAGTGTTCCAAAGCTTAATCTTCTTATCGGCCGACACGGAAACCAGTCTTTCGCCAGATCGTGAAAAATCAATACCGTAAATACCGCCTTTATGAGCAGGGGAACCAATCTCGGCAATCTTGTCACCCGAAGTAGCATCATAGGCGAATAATTTACCATCAGAGCCACCAGTGACAAAGATATCACCTTTGGGTGAGAATTTGCAACATTGAACAAAGTTAGTGTGATCTCGGAGATTTTTGGAGAACTTGAAGGGCGGTCCTTCAAGGAATGTCACGGTGAAATCCTCACTTCCTGTCACTAGACGATAAGGTCGAGTTGGCTTCATGTCAACACAGTTAATAGGCTTTGACATGCCTACCACTTCTCCTACCTCAGTACCCATTTCAGCGTTAATCACCTTTCCGAATCTAATACAAAGATCAGTTTCAAAAACTTCAAACTTTAACTCACTTTTCACCACTATTCCCACCAACGGCAATCCTTTGATTGTCACTTGTCCAACAGATATCATTAATTGAAGCCAAAACAGGGAATTCATTTTTAAGCAGATGCTCCTTCTGTGTTGTATCCCAGATATGTAATTTACCAGACTTATCTAAATTAACAAAAAAAGTACGTTTTTAAATTAAAATCATACCTCCAGATGCAATGTAAAACCCACTGGGAGAATATTTTGCACATTGAACTTCAAAACTGTGACCACTATACACGTCATTATCCATTTTCGTCTACATTTCATAATGAAGAATGCTTTTACTTACAGTTAAATCGCGAATAAATACGTTTTTCTTGTTCGTATAGACAATAAAGCTTTCTTTAGGATGAGAACCAATAATAACATGCTTTCCTCTTTCAACAAAAGGAACAGCGGGATATAACTTGTCTGAAAAGGCAAATTATTTTAAACGTAAGCATACCAAGTGTCAAAGACATTGTTATAGAAGTTGAACAGCGGAAATTGCAATTCTATTAGCGCAATTGTGCGCTTAGGAAATAAGAACAATACAAAACGCCCTAGGAAATTAAATAGTTCCGGTTAACCTTGAGAGCTTAAACAAGATTTATATGCGTTTCTGCCCACTTATGCTTTGTTTCACTTCATATTATTATACATAATTTCAAAATTCAATTTACACATTAAAAATATATTGTTTGTTCATTGAATTGAAGAGCTGATAAGAGAAAGGATAATATAATTTCAAGAAAAAGTTTAAACACTTTGTCCAAAACAAGGAAACGCAGTTTCCTATTAGAGATTTAAACTTCGATTTAGCTGATGCCTTTAAAAAATAGGTAAAACATCGTATCTTAACTACTCAACGTTCAGCTCATGCATTAAGTTTTATATTTCTTATCATATTATAACATGTGGACATGAAATATTTTCCCTTTAAATAAAACGTCTCGTATAGAAATGGTTCTTACTTTTGTTAAAATTAAAATCTGATCTGATCTCCGGAGTACTATCTGTTCGTATATGTTCTGAGGTGTAAAAATTATTTTTTTACTAAATTGCCAACTGATATGTCCAGAAATTGTTGTACTTTGTAACGTGGAAGGAATTTTATTATATTACAAAATATGGATATTAGCACAAACGTATTTATAGGTGAATTTGCCAAAAATGCATTTATACTATGGAATTGCTAAATTCGCAGCTTTACTGTGCTTCAATTATCATATACTGAAACCAATTATAATTGAATATTATTTTCGAATATTAGAAAATATACTCGGGTAGCTGCAAGAACAATTTTTTAACCCATATGAGTGTAGATTACCATTTAATTATTACGGTGTTTATTGATAAATTCAGTAATTCATTGGATATTGACTTAAAATCTTTTTTGAAAAAAACTTAAGGAAGAGAATGAATTAACATTAGCTTTAAATATTAATAAATAGCCATCTGATTTGCATTCAGAAAAAGGAAATAAACTTTCAAATAGTAGAAAAATGTTAAATTTGTTCATGAGCTACAATTTCTTTGTACACAGAATACTATGACCACCTAGAATCCACAGCTATACCAGTTAACTCAATTAACGCAAAATCATTAATGTTCAGTCTATTTCAGATCTATATTTAAAAATAGTAACCATTAATTATGTCAGGTTAACGGAGTAGTTATATGGATTAAATATGGAGAAAATTAGAGATAGAAACTATAGCACAAACTAATTCAAGCACAACAATCCATGTTTTTCCGATAAATTGAAATAAGGCCTCGAAGCAGGTCTAGTGTAGTGATCCAGCGTGTTTTTTTAAAGCTTTATTCTGGGGTTTGTGACGTACAAAATCCTAACACAATCAAAGAAATCTCATATGTACTTGAAAATTCTCGAATATTACATCTCTTGACCTTCTTATCTAATCAGCCATCACTCTTCTCTCAAGTTCTGTTGAATGTATTCAATTACTAATAATGATTGTTGAGGGCAAAATTTTTGTAATCGCTAGACTAACTATACGTCTGCTTCTTCTATACCAACTTAATAATTCAAGGGAACTATCTGCACTTGGATATTCCGCCATCAAGAATACTGAGAATAAGTCAAGTCTTATTCATGTAACTATCCTCTACGGCCAATCCACTTATTGTTAAATGGAATATCATTACGCTTTTACAAATGAAAATTCTATTTTGTCTAAAATTATTCACAGCTCATTATAAATGATAACTTATCGTTTTCAAGATTTGGTAATTGATTTACCCCACTGAACTGGAGATGATTTTCGAAAATTTTCAATGGCCACTCTACAGAGTTTACTCAAGTTGAACCATACTAATAAGTAAATAATCGATTGCTAAATTGAAATTGGGTCTCTTCATACTGTCATCCACTATCCAGAAACAAGGGTCATATATGTGACAATGTTTCTTGAAAAGAAGTCGACAGTACTGTAAATTTTGCAATATTTTATGACTCTATGTGGCAAGTTAAAAAGAGGGTATTTTTTTCTAATTAAAAGCTGATGCATAAATTTTGGGGAATCACATAAGGTCGTCATTTGAAATTAAACCAAAAATAGGACGGGCTTATCTCACGAATGGTTCTGAAAATGCCGATTTTTTAATAACTGCACTCAGGCTAGTCAAAATGAACCTATTATGACAATTGACGAATTCAAACAAATATAGGACCGTTAAATGATGCTGTTTTAGGCGCAATTTCCCTTTTCCTGATATATCAATAGCTTAAAACTAAGTGTAAATAAACGTTTTTTCACATTAATTCTTATCACTAATATATATTGGCACGAAAAATCAGTTTGTTTCGGTACCCTCAAAAGGAACTCCCGATCAACATTGTTCCTGCAGTGGACAGCCAATTATCGAAATTTTATTCACTTATTAAGAAAATTCAAAATATAATCATACAGGAGTCTCTCATCATTTACAACTTCATTTTAGATATTGAAAGCAACTCGCCAATTTCCATATTCATTTTCTGTCTTATTAATAAAATTTTAAAATCTTAGCATTATCTCGAACAAGAAGATGATGTTAATTATAATCACAAAATAATAGATAATATTTAATGCGATATAGAACATTTTAGTTTCCTTTATTGTTCGCATTGCACTCAAACATCGATATGAACAATGGATGGTTGACAAGAGGATAGCCGTTTCCCTCTGAATATATGTGACCAAAGGAGTAAAAGACAATTCGTCGAAGTTAGTTTTTTTGGGGGAGGGTGTTATGACGAGTCCATGAGAATTCAGTCTTTCAAAACGATCTCTGCTTATTTTTCAAACTCCTCCTTAGTTTCGCAACTGATTGTTGACTCTAACTAGGTATAATGTAACTTGTGAGGAATTTTGCAATTTAATTAAAATATACCTCTATTTTGACCGTTACGCCTATATTACTCATTTTAGTTATATCACATGGCAAGCTTTATGATAATTTTACTAGTCTTTTAGTTGACATTGGGGTGCGGGTTAGACTCCTCGCCATGTGATGCCTCCTTGCCTACGTTTACTCATACGGCAAAAAAGTCTATTAACCGGCAGTCGTATACGCATACGGCAAAAAAGTCTATTAACCGGCAGTTTTCTTCTCACTTCAAACTACCATGACCCCCCTATATGTCCTACATTCTCATACGGCAAAAAAGTCTATTAACCGGCAGTTGACTACTGGCTTCAAGCTACCATGACCCGACTGTATGTCATATTGCATTACTTCCACGTACTCACCTTGCCATTTAATCCTTTAACGCCCGAATAATTTTTTCCAAAAATGCACCCAACCGCACTCATGCGTGTCTCACAGCAGACTGATGGCGACATGGTGAGTTTTGGTGGTATTTGGTGAATCTATGGACATGGTAAACATGTTTCATACGCCAATGGAGCCTTCTTTTACGAGTTTAGTACCAACGCAGCTTATTTTGAAAGAGAATCGTACGGTCATAACGGGGTTAAAGGGTCAATGAGCGTAAATAGAAACGACTATCAAATGTTCAAGTAATTCATTTTCTCCCTCCTGCATTACTGAATTCTGAAGATGGAAAAAGAAGTCAGTTTGGTCTACAATAAAAGTAGTACTGTCCATTACTCTCTAAGCACTTGGTTTTTCTGTCTGTCGAACAAAGTGCTGTTTATTTTTGGTCTGCACTCTACTTTTTTTGCCAATTCATTCTTGACATTCACGCCTAGACCCCATTGTTGGTTTCATTAATTTTATGGATCGATCAACCTCTGCAGCTGCCATTTTTCTGCCAATTACTAAGACATAATTAGATGGATTTGAGTTAAAGTGGTTTTAACATAGCAAAAGCAATTTGCACGTGCCTATGGCAAATTTCGAACCTTCAAGTATTCTATTTATGCCATATTCACCCACTTAACATTAGTTTTGATAGTTGGAGGATTGGAAATACAAGGTGCAAGTCTTGCAGAGATTATAACAAAATGCAAGCACATTAGGTGTGCATAAGCCTCCACTCTCTTTCAAGCACAGAAATAGGTAATCAAATTAATTTGATTTTAATGCCTCAGATATCAATTTGCCAACTAGAGTAGGTGTCGAGAAACCACCTTAATGAAAAATGATATTATTTTAGAGGGAAAACTCGGTCGATTTGCATGTACAACTCTATTTTATCTAAAACTTTTTAGCTATTTCAAGTAATAAAACAAAAAGTGTAGAATTTTCTTATTCAACTCTCAGAATTATGAAAAAATATGGCGACCATCAGCATATTTATAACTACGTCTTGGCATGCTATAAAAACATGCGTGCAAATACTGATTTAGGTAGCACTGTTTCCACCCTAAACTACGTTTTATCCAATTAATTAGCTGGAAAATTTGTCCAGCTGGTCATTGTTTACATAATGAATTAATCACAAAATAATCATATTTTGAATAATTTTAAAAGAAAGCCCAGTTTATGCTAAAAGTTGGCGCTCCGTTGAACCAGTAAGCTCTTATAATGAGGCATTTTAGTTATCCCTCCTGGTTTCTTCCTCTACTTTTTCCAGGAAAAGGCACAAAGCATAATATCAACTTTGATATTTATTGCTTGAAGCATTAATTAGCCAACTTAGCCAGTATTCGAAGACTTTGAGTCTCTTCCATCTTCGCGTAATATCTGCCATTTTGCTGTACAGACACCGTGGAAGACATTCAAAACAAATGTATTTTCAGGAATTTCGTTTCTAATCACAGTGTCTACAATTTCGAATGGCTACTTACTGATCGACAATTTTTGTTTTAGAAGAATTGAAATACCCTTATGAAACGATGTGCAACCACCTTTCTTTAAATAAGCTTTAAGTAGGGAGGAAGATTATCAGACACACAGGATTTTTTATTATTGGGGTTTTAATAAGAATTTCTACAGCAAAGGCAAAAGGAATCCCGTGGCACATGTTCAATATATCAAATTAGGGTGTGATTATAAAATAAGCGAAAAACAT